CCGCGGAAACTGATCATTTGGGTATGATTCATTTAAATTTCATTACTTCTCCCTTTATACAATCTATTCAGGCATTATTAAATTCAATCTCATTATTTGACAGATATAACCTTAGAGCTGCGAGCATTGGGAGTTCCTTGGTCATTGCACGCTTGGACTCTTTCCTTGGCCGCCGCTGCTGAAGCCTCGCTCGACCATGTGATCGACCAATTATTACAAGACTTTTTACAGGTAACATTCAATGTCTTAAATAATTTAACAAGTATCGAGGTTACCATAACGTAACGAGTATTCTTCTAATATTACCTACTGTGTTATTAGGTGTGTCCATCCGACGACAGTCACTACAGCAAGCAATTCATTTACGAGTGCCTCCCTCTGCTTTTCAATATTTTACGCTATAGCAAGGTACGTCCTATATTTCCTGTATATTAATGATACCTTCATTACAGTAAAGGAAATTATTTACAACACCTTTCAGTCGTCAAATTCAGTTTAAATATTAGTGCTATCCGTAACGCTGCTACTGTTGGTTTGTTACTGTACATAAAGAAGAAATACTGTAAAAACACACAGTTTTGAATTTGTTGTATGCGATATTTCAAAGGAAATATGAAACACAATTAATAAACTTATTATACAATATAATTTAGTGCTTATGTATGTTACCTTACAAGCTTTTTACATTCACAGAAAGAAGGCACAGTGTTGCTTCTAGCGGATATTTTATGCGCGTGTTACGGTTGGGAGCCAGTACCTCGGGTCGCACCGCCTGCGCCCGCGCCGCCGCTACCAGCGCGAGTTGACCCTTCATACGTTAATAACCCGTCTCTGGCTGATGTCACTTTTAGGTACCGTATGACTGTTAGGCCGATCTTAACATAACAATATTTGATTCTAAAGAATTTCTTAGATTTTTTGTTGTTTGAGTCATAATTTTATTGTTTCAAAAAGGACATGTTAAACTTCATCAATCATGACCACGAACATCTAAGTATGTTTGGGTGTTTTAATCATTCTTAACCATGACCGTAACTGCATACCTTACTAACTACCATATTATACAATAAACAACGTCTTTATATTTTTACCTCAGAGTTGAAGGTCGTCTATTCTACGGCCACAAGATTGTATTAGTGTCGGAGTCAGCCCGTCTACGAGCTATGTTGGCGCCGCCCCGTTCTGGCGAGCCCTTGGCAGGAGCTGCTCCACCACTCGTGCAGATAAACGATATCCGATATCATATATTTGAGGTATCTATTATATAGCAGTAGCAAAAATTACTTTGAAGTACTTAATTAAAATAAGGAAAACTTTTTGACTACCAAAATAACTTTGGAGCGTCAGATAAATAAGACATGTACGAGTATATATTTATTATTTTCATTTCATCCTTTAATTGACAGAGGAGTTCCGTAATTCATCTTAACTAGTCCAATAATAAATCTAGAGATATGGAGATGAACTTGAAAAATTTGCACAAAGTTGAATTACAATTGATTTTGTTCATATTTTATTTTGAAATACAAGTACATACCGTGAAAGAATTAAATTAAATAATGTCAAATAATTTTAATTTTGGATTAAAATATATTCACCCATAACATTTTGTTTACAAAGACAAAATAAAATAATAGGATTTCAATCTCTACAGCAAGTAATGAAGTATCTATACTCGGGTGGCTGCTCGGGTCTTGAAATTCCGGATGGCGATGTTCTGGAAGTGCTGGCCGCCGCCTCTTTCTTTCAGCTGCTTCCTTTACAGCGCTACTGTGAGGCACGCGCGGCACAATCCGTAGACCTGCACAATCTTGTGTCAGTTTACATACATGCTAAAGTGAGTTTAGATTTAACTTGATATATACTTTCCTTTATACATAAATTGTATAACAAAGAAATGACAGTAGACTAACTTATTACTTATTATTTTGAATTGATAACTATCAATTTTTAGCTGTATATTTATAATATTGCTGTTTGTATTACTAATATATGAAATGAATATTTTTATTTGGACAATCTAATATTAATAAACTTTTTTTATGAAAGAATCAATTTTATACAAATATTATATTGTGATCACAGACGAGATAATTTTTTTGTGGCTATGAAAATGAGATTTTCTGTGGTTCTACTAACAAATTATACTCTACATACAAAATGTATCTCCGTTTTATTACTTGGCACACCAAAATGTTTTTTACTTAATTTTAATACAATGTATTAACATCCCAGGTGTATGGTGCAACACAACTCCTGGAGTACTGTCAAGGATTTCTCCTACAGAACATGGTCGCCTTACTTACTTACGATGATTCAGTTAAGCGGCTGCTGTTTGGCAAGAGGCTCCCCGGACATAACGTGCTCGGGGCACTACTAACGACTTTGCAGAAAAGAATCGAATCAAGGAAAAACCAAGTCAAGAGCAGATAGCAGACGTTAAGCAAATATGGTTCTCGAAAAAAAACCTCTTTCGTGAAACTCTATAAGATAAACAGATTTTTTCAGTCCAGATTTTATTTACATGATTCACTTGATAAAATTTCTTCTTTTTAAAATTCTTTTTTTCAATTATTTCTTTTAGACAAAAAATTTAACAGAAGTAATTTAGAAACTTTATCTAAAATATGTAAAGACGTCTGTCTAAAATAAATTAAGTTTTCTTTTCATAAGAAAATAAATGTAAATATTGAGACTTAAAACAATAATTTATCTTTTACGATTTTCCACGAACCTTTTTAAATATTATTTTTATTTATTTATTAAGTTAGTACCTACTCATAGGCAAGGTAATATAAATGTCAAGATTTGTTTTAATGAGAAATGTAATTAAAAAGAATACCTATCAATTTAATTTACCGAAAACAACTTTATGCGTCCAAAAAAACTAATTTTATGATTTAATTTTGATTGAAATAAAAAATATTTTTTGCAATAAATAAAAATGGTATTATGGTAGAAAAGCTTGTTCTGAGTACTTCCTGATAAACTAACATATTATTTCATAAACTTACACGCACAACCCCTTAAGTAACTAAATTGTAACCTCACTCGTCATGTACATACATACTTTACATACATGATTCTATGTGCTTTCAATAAAATTGTACATTTTTTTCATCTATGTTATATAATTTTTTTCTGTTAGATGTATAGTGTTTAATTAATATCATGTGCTATACAAAGTAGATTTTATGTAACGAAATAACTGTTCACTATATTTTTTGACGAATAAAATAGAATTATAAATGTAATAAAATGATATTGTGTAATTATTGTTGAAATAAAATTTGTATTATTATTTTTAAAAACAAAATGTTATATAATTTAAACCATAATGAAACTTAATCTTATAAATTTATGATCCTATCTTTAGGTTCGTAAGGAATATTTTTAATAAGTCAATAGTATTACGATGCAGTCTTAACTGGATAAAGCATAAATTATTTATGGAAAATAAATTAAGAACCTTTACATATGGGAAGTTAATAATAATTTGTTAAAAAATAATAATAGATTGGCCTGATTGTTGACAAAATGTTGTAGAAATGTTAAACTACTAGTTTGAATATTTTTATATTAAAAATTTTGTCCACCCATTAATATAAAATAAAGACATTGTGCTAAATTATTCATGGTAGTTTTAGCGATCTTGTGAATCTTTAATCTCAGTAACTTCGGTTTCATCTAAAAAATTTACTCTCCTTTGGTAATGCTATGAAAACAAACAATACCTATAAGATCAAAAATTAACACGTTACCACAAACAATATCTCGGGAATGCAACAGAGCATTCATTCGCAGTTTACAAAGTGCGAAATAAGCACTTATATTTAAGGGAAAAATTGACAATTCCAAATTAAGCCCTCTAAACCAGAGACCATCGCGATTGAGCATAATAATTCCATAAAACAAAAACACTAATTCTAAATAAGTTATGGATTCCAGGTTTCAAGAATAGCTGTTCAAATAAAAAGTGTCTTGCAGTGACCAGGATATGTCAAAAATAAACTCTCATATTAATATCTACAAAAACAGTCATATTTACAGACAAATATTTAAAAAAATGTATTTCAAGCCTAGGTATAACCAAACCAATTTTTTATTTTAAAGAATGTATCGAGTTAATTTTTAATTATAACAAACAAAGCCTTTGTTATATTTCATTTATAATTATCAATTAAAGAATAATTTTTATTCTTTAGGTTATTTACTGACCCATGAAAATTATCTTTAATGAACTCTTGTTACTTATAGGTACATATAGAACGGGAAAAAAGCAGAAGACACATCCAAAAATTTCTATTGCTTAATAGAATTTGGACAACATAACATTAATTAATCTGACATCAAATGAAATGATGAAATTTAAAAACTGAACATAATAATTATCTCAAACAATAGCTAAATAACATTTTAACGTAAATAAATCTGATTTAAGGGATTGCGTTTATTCTGAACTGTTTGCTTCCTGTGATTAGATAATGAAATAAAAATAAGTTATAAAAATAATTTTACAATACCGGCAAATTTAATTGGTATTATTTGGGTGATGCACAAATTTAACTGAATATCTTGTCTATTCTCAAATCAATATAATGCTTGCATCATTACAAATAACAAAATGATATGTATAAAAATTGTTAACATTTTATCTTGGAAAATGTTATCTTCACTGCTTAAAGTTACCAAATGATTTACTAACCTATTAAAATTCATAATGTTTCGTGAACTGGTATATTTCTCTTCAATACCTGACGTTATAAGTCAAAGTCAAATACGACTGTCACCTAAAATTTGACAACTAGAATCCGCAGCTACAATTTCTGCAAAAAAAATGACACATTGCTTGTGGCCCACATGGTAGAACTAGAGTGTAGAGTGATGAGTGGATTGATTAATAGTGCCGTTTTTATTCATTAATTTTAGCACAGAGCGTATTTTTTTTATAAAGTGGAGTGTTAATTTTAAATTATTAAATGAGTTGACAGTGTTTAAAAATGCAGTTTTACAAGGAAAGGATTCTTAACGCTGCTCAGTTAAAAAGACTCAGTGAACACAAATATTCGTGTACGAGTGCTAGTATTCTAGATGCTTGGCTTCAACCTTGGTGGTGCTGGCTAGTCTCTAAGACGCCGCTATGGCTTGCTCCGAATCTCATTACTATTCTAGGATTAATAGTGAATATAGTTACTACTCTCATATTGGTCTGGTAAGTGTTTATTTAACTGTCAATCGAAATTGATCGGCTTGCTAAATTGCGAAAATCGTGTCATGATGTAAACTAGCGGAACGACTTTCATTTTTGCTTCTAAAGCTGCTGATAACTTTCTTTTACCCTACATAACTCTTGTAACTGTTGAAATAAATTGCTATCTTATGGCCATCTGACAGATTAATATTGGGCTAAATATCTTTTCCGTTGCATTATGCGGCGATCACCTGATTGGCGGAATCTGTCACGCCACTAAATGATAAGATATTAAAGAAGGAATTCATTATTATTTTTTATATTACTTTTTGTTATAATTGTTTTACATATATAATATATAAAATATGATATTTTGTTTTTAGTTTAATTTATAATATCAGCTACTCCAATCAGAATACTGCAAATTCCCAGGCATAACCTTAACTCATAACTGTCATTTAATTTTGTTGATGGAATAAATTAATATAAGAGCCACAAATCATCTCATAACAGATAATTGAACATTATTATTTTATACTTAATGAGTTCTATTCTATAATACTCAAATATTTAACAAATAGAAACTGTTTTTTTATTACTTATTAAATCTAACCTACATAGCACACATTAGCATTACTAGTTTTTAACTTATAGAGATTCTATATTTTATATTAGATTTAATTCCTTTTCTAAAATAACAGTATATAAATATTTCCCAAAACAGATAATTTGCAATTAGCAAAATAGAAAATAAAATAAGATTATATTTGGATAACATTATCCAATAAAATACACATTTATTTATTAAAATTCATTTCCATATGCCATGAAATTATGTACATTCAAATATATTAAAAATTTACTCTTTTAAGCAGTTACAATAAAACATATGTGAAGATAGACAATTTGGTATTCTATGGGTTAATAACACCATTTTTTTAAAACTTATTTACTTTAAAACCAGAGTTTTTATTTAAATGTTTTATTAAGTGCAGTGATTAGACTTTTTGAGTATATTACATATTGATACATCAAAGATAGAGCTATTTACATATCTGTATAGAAAATACAATCAACAACAATGATATATGAAATGGAAATTAATAAGATCAACAACAATTGTTTGAGAAAGTATATATCATCAGAAACATACAATTTCATTCAGCCTATTAAAATTGAATATCCATATCACATCTCTCTATAAAAAATACAGACACTAAACAATACATGAAGTATTTATATAGAGTATTAGAATTAATTCATCATTATCATATTATACAGGGTGTATGAAAAACTGTGTCAACCTTCTTAACTACGTTATCAGTATCGATAATGTAACACAATAAAACAACTTACATTTACAAACTCTTCAATAAAAATAATAAAATTAAATATTAAATGATTATTATATGTAGAGTAACAAAATGTTTGTATGCCCTGGTATAACACAATGACACGCAATGACGTCATCACAGCTGCTGCGCTACTAGTGACGACCTTGAAGTTACTTTCACATTATTGAAAATATCGATATTTAAAAAATCATAGCAATAAATAAATATTTAATATTCATATTATTTCGATACTTATTTTGATATATCAAACATTAATATTATGTTTGATTGTAAAACACCATTTTTAACAGAAATAGATTAACGATTTATCCTAATAATATCACATATTATGTAGTTAATTTACCTGAACAAGTTTCATATTATAATATTTATTATTAATAAAAGTTATTTTAAATGAAATTATTTTAATGTGAAAAGCATAACTATTTATAGCAATATTGAAAATGTCGATAGAATATTTATCGATATAACTAATTTTTACACTTTCAAATCTCTATACGAACAACTAACAGAATAGTAATAATAACGCCGGCCGCCCGTCGCCTGTGGTCAATGGTCACGCATGCGCCGTTGCGACTCTATGGTGTCTTGACCTTGTATGAATCAGATGTTTGGAACATTCTTTCGAATAATGTCGATTTAAAACTTATTTAGTCTATGCACTGTAACTGACCTCTGCTTGATATTTTTTAAGTTATACTATTTTTTATAATAAGATTATACTTATATGTATACATGCCTTCAAGGGTTGACACAGTTTTTCATACACCCTGTATATGTAACTGTATTATATAATATTGCAGAAATGATTGACTATCAGGATATGTTTTACTAAAGGAACCCTAATTATTTTGGATATAAATGGGTACCTAGATTTGTCCAGAAATTTCTTAACCATCTGAAAAAGTTGCTTTAAGAAAAGAAAGTCTAATAATTTATTATAATTCTTTTTATATACAGAAGAACTAGGAAGCTAGAAATCTTAAATGGAAATTTTACTTAACTGTTTTTTTAGTGTTAACATTGTTAATATCAAATAGTTAATACAAAAAGTTATAAAAGCAAGTTTTCTTAATCAAGTTAAACTAGAGAAATTTTTTATCACTTTCATTCAAACTTAGAATGTTTTGTAATACTTCATAGATGGTATCTTCATGAAAGCAAATATCTAGAAAATTTCTTAATTTTTTTTATTTTTTAACCTACACACCCCTTGTGAAGTAATAACTGTCAGTTGTTTGATATTTGTCTGTCAGTTGTTCAATCAGATAAAACAATCAGGATAATTCTAAGATTTCATAATTATATGTTGACTTTGGCAAAATATATCATGACTCCAGAGCAAATGATGCCCAGCACAATAAAATTTTAATATTTTACTTAGTGACAAATTTAAATATTTTCCTTTCAGCAATTTCCTTATTAATAATTAATTAACTATCAGTATAATACTTCTTCTACCTGGCAATTTCCCAGCTATAGCCAGGGTCTGCCTTACATGTTATGTATAGTTTTGGCTATTTGTTTTTACGACCGGCCGCCTACCTGACATCAACCCTCTTTTGGGAATCAACATTAATCAGTGGTGTCAAAATAGTCTTAGAAAGTACATATGACTCGGAAAAATCACATTGGTACTTGCCCGGGCCAGGATCGAACCTGCGCCCTCGGCAACGAGAGGCGGGCCCTTTAACCACTAGGCCACCACTGACTTTTATCAGTATAATACTTGATTGTTATATATTTTTAAGTTATTTCTTTCCTCCCCTCAAGTAGTTACAACTTAGTTTATTAGCAATACAACAAGTATGACCAGTATGATAAGTTTATATGTAGACATGGATATGTTGCAAATAAAATTGGTTTATGTTTGAAAAATAGTCATAAACTCTGTTTCTTTGACAAAATAAATTAAAACTTTGAGTAAAACCTATTGAACACCATGATAATATGTATATTATTTTGATGTAATGGCCTTGTTAAAGTTAGCATCTTGTTATCGCTTGTGAGACTATGTACATTTTGTATATGATTATTTGTTTCTACTGAATAAATGGAATGTGCAAATAATTTACTTTGAAAATTATTTCCGCTTTGTCTATGTGTGTATAAAATAGTAAAGAGTACTAACTATAATCAAAAAGTTTTTACTAAAAATGTATACTGTTTCATAACTAACTCACTCACTACTAAAAGAAAAAATCTCATTCCAAAACACAACAAGTACTGTGAACATGTAGAACTGTTGTTTAAACTGAATAAACTGCTAATTAACTTGTTTCAAAAAAAGTCAGATAACAATTTTAACTCAACAGACATTTGATACATGTTTTTTTATTAAAAAAGATAAAAAGCTATTTCCGACTGTAGTTATTAAAAATGAAGTAACAAATAGTGTAATTATATAAAGTTATTGTGGAATCATTGAAATCTCTAATTAAGAATATATGATCCAAGGTATAGTCCAGATGCAAGACAGGAACCGCCGCAGTGGGCCTTCGCCCTCTGCGCGTTGGGAGTGTTCGTATACCAAAGCCTGGACGCTATTGACGGCAAGCAGGCTCGAAGAACCGGCAGCCAGTCACCACTAGGAGAACTCTTCGATCATGGCTGTGACAGTATATCAACAGTTTTCATCGCACTGGGAGCCTGTATAGCTGTGAAGCTCGGGGAATATCCTACGTGGATGTTCTTTCAGGTTGGTTATTTAAATCGAGTCGAGTTTTTGTTGGTGATAACTGATTATAAATCAATTATGGTTGTTACAGTAACCTTGAATTTTCATATTTTGAGATATGTAATACATATTATGTATGTGTATGTATATTTTATGTTCTTGCTATATAATGAACCTTTACAAATTCTAAATTCAAAACATGTGACTCATAGAATGTATTATTTGTTTGCTGAACTGTACTTTACTTTCGGAAACTTCAATATCAATGCGTGCATTAAGAATATGGGTACCTATAAAGAATTAATTCAATCGTTGAATGTCGGTTTTACGGCCGGCATAAACATCCTACGTTATTATTGTGAAACTTCTAATGAAAATTTCGTGAATTGTAACGAAACCTTCGCCGTAGTGAGACTGAAAACAAATTTATGTATATCGATTATACTTAAGTTGGCCTTGATAATGTTCATTGAGAAACGGGCAAGGTCTGAACGGTGAGCTCACTGTACACTCGCCCGGGAATCTTGGCATCGTGTCATAACAGCTGGAGTTTGGCCAATTTTACTTGTTTATTTTACCTAAATTGGTATAATGATTTACGAATCTATCAACTATCGCTTATTACTGGCAGTTTTTACCTTTAATATTGAAGTTAGAATTTTTTATTCATATATCTTCATCGATGTTTTACTAGCATAAGTTATTAATGAAAAACTAACTCTAACAGCTTTTACTATGATTCTAATTCAGTGTAGATGCTAAACACGTTACGCTAGACGTTTTAGAATTTGTCCATACTACATATTATGTAATCTATTCGATATGGCTTATTTCAGTGACAGGGAAGTTGTAAATTTAAACGTATTAAATGTTTATGCTAACAATCAACAAGGCGATAGTAATTTTTGTTTTATCTTATCATTATCATACGCATCCGTTAATTTATAACACTTAATAATCACACAAAATTAAAAGGCCTCAGGATTTTTTTGAAGTGTTAAACCTGTTGTAATAAATAAAAAAATTAATACTGTTTTATGATGTCATAAAGTTTATCAATTATTTATTCTTAAGTTCAATGTTATGTTGTTACTAAACAACAATTGTTAGCAAATTTAAAGTATTGTTTTATGTCGAAGATTTTTTTTAATACGAATAAAGTACGAAAAGGCTGTAATCATTGCAATTTTGTAATTTTTAAGGAAACGTTACGAGTTAAAACTTACCGGTTATGTATCGTTAGACGCGATGAAAATGTGGAAGGAGATTGCAACACTATAATTTAATTCTATACAATCTACTTACGTTTTAATTGCTTACTTACAGAAAATTTATTCGTTTCTAATAAATTGATGTATGTATTCTCTTTACTTCGATATTTAAAAACTTTGATATGTTTTCTCACAAAAAATATGTACGTTATTTTATTAAGTATAATCATCGTATATAAGAATAAAAAATCAACACATACTTTATATTCATATTCAGAAAACAACTTTTTTTTTTATTTAGCAATGATTGAGTTATGACGTATCTTATAAAATTTTCCAGTGTTTCTGCGCTATGACGTTATTTTATTGCGCTCATTGGCAAGCATACGTCACTGGCACCCTCAAAATGGGCCGCATTGACGTCACCGAAGCCCAGTACACAATCATAGGGATCCATCTCATATCAGCAACCCTTGGACCAGACGCCTGGGCAACTAAGGTAATGTAACATATTACACAACTATGAACCTTGTAAAATACGTTGAATAGTCTTAAATTTTGATTGCAATAACTTTTAAAAATACCCACATGAATATATTTATATTAAATTAACATGCTATTTTAATATATATCGTGCATGCATATGCACTTGTGTGCTGAATTAGGTTTTAATTATATTTCTGGATGGCTGCTATTGGATATTCTATGTATAATCTTAAGGATATAATATCAATTAATATTATCAGAATATGCTTAATATCCAATATATGTATTTCTCTATACTATTTATAAATAAAATAGTGTTATATAATTGTTTTTATTCAGATTTAATGCAAATATTTCAAAGATAATTGGTTTATGGTATAGTGGTTTTATACAGGATAAATTAATTATGGAACACTAACGAGGACAATAACCACTATACTACATTAACTTGTTACTACTTTTTCTAGGGTCTAATTAGTACGCTAAGTTTCAAATCTGTGATAAGATTACCAAAATTACTTTCGGAAGAAAAATAAAGTTCCTATTATTGTTATTACATACATAAATCAGTATTGGCGTGTTTTGTACAATGAATACTAGTATAAATTTAGTTAAAATCGAATGAAAAAATAAACCATAAAACGGTAATGACGAAGTGGCCTATGTTTGACTGTATTTCTTTAAAAACCTTAACTATTTCAATTTTACAAACCATAAAAGAGCATCTGGATACAAATATGTGTGTACATTAACATAAACACATACGTATTATTGTTTCTATATCCCACAAAAATATATCAACTTAATTGCCCAAAGATATTACATTCACGTTTTTTTATAGAAAATAATATCTTTCCATTTTTCCATCCGTTCTCTGATAAATAAACAAAAATAAGCAAGCGCAAAACTTTCCCACAAAATACAAAATTATTTTCTATATAGTAATACGAGACTTAACTGTAATAGATGTTATTATATAGATATTGTTCAGACATTATTATAAATTAATTGGGACACAACGGTATCCTGACGTTAGATCGGCTCGCTGGAGGCTCGCTACTCACTAGGTGGCGCTGCTGTGCTGGGGGCTACCCTGACGCTTGGCGCTCTAGGAGCAGCCATCGCCAGAGGGGGGGTCGGCAAGAATGGATCCACTGTCGCTGTGAGCATCCTAACGGATCGGGGGCTCGGACACTTTAAAAAAAATATGTTTTAAATGATATTTTATATAAATATTTATTTTGTTGGTAGTTTTATATTTGACCAGTGTTGATGATGAATTTCATAATTACTCGTGCCGAGCCCCCGAACCACATGCGCCTCCAAGTACATATTTTTAAAACTGTTGGGCTTTATGCTTAGTATTATTGTAATATGTAACTAAGATATAGTTTTGGTTAGTTGTTTAGATGACTATTCTCATAGCTTTTAATCTGTCGTTTCCTCTTCGGTTAACTGTACTTCATATATATTAATTATCAGGGGTTGTAAATAGAGTCGACGCACTCGATATAATTGATTATTTTATATCCATTTATATTAAACTTCAATAGATGTAGTTAGTTTATCATTATAATTTGATCATTACGAGTGTGCGACGGCTCTTATAGAATTAATTCTATACTGTACCATTGCTTATTATCATGTGGGTTTTTTTAATAGCATGTTTTTTTCTCGTATTTATTTAGGTTGTGCTCTCTGTTAAATTATTATTATTATTTATAACATTGAGCATGGTCTATTTTTAATTTCTACTGTACCGTATTATATAGTTACTGTCATGTGTCTAGTGTAAGCATTTATGTAATTCTATGTGGTCGGTTTTAAATCATGTGGGTCTTCACTCATTTGTATGACACTAACATTATATTAAGATGGTATTATATTAACTGTGTAGTTAATTTATCTTGGATAGTCCTTTATGAAGACTGAACTCCTTGAAATAGAGTAAATAAAAAAAAAAGATAATTTCTCACTATATTAATATGATAATCGCGCTACAGATTCAGGGTTTAGATATACCGTTGCGGCTGATCGCGTGTACCTTAACGTTTTCAACGGCGTTGTACTTTGTCGTCAACTTCGCCGCCTCCTTCAGGCACAGGGGCTGTGGCAAGAACGGATCCACTGTGGCCGTAAGACATATGCACATGCATGCACATGTGGCCATGCACATGTCGCATGTCATGCACATTATGCGCTGGTTACGGGTACATCGATATGGAAATTGATGCTGATATTTAGCTGATAATTAATTTGTATACTTAGACCCAGTTTCACCAATCAATGTTAAATAAGTAACATCTTGTTAAGGCGTTTGATGGTCTGTTAGATGCATCGAGCGTCCCACCACGCACAAATGTCCGTTTAAATGTTTTAACAAGCCACTAATATTAATTCCTGCTCTAGAGCTCCGTCTAATGACTAACAGACTGTTAATGCATTGGCTAAAACTCAATTGTCCATTAATTGAAAAGAAAGCTTTATGTGTGCCAAATGTATACAACCAACGATATATAAAAATTGGTCGCATTAGTTAACAAGTGACGTATCGAGGGATATATACGATCAAAGTATAAAGTGGTGCATCGTGGCAAACGTGTCGTGCTAAACGTTATAGTTTCCATTTGGTCGTCTTAAAACAAGAACGAATAATTTGGTAGTCGGTCATTTAACATGATATTTAATAATAAGTTGTTAATTTGTCGTCGTGAAACGTAAATATTTTAGCAGACAATAATATTTTTGAAGGTTTGTTAGTAAAGGACTTGTTTAGATTTAACAAACATTGATTGAGATAACTGGGTCTTAGTGTATTAATTTCTTTATGTATTTTTTTAAGTGGGTCTACATACAATACATTAATTTCCATACCGTATCATAATAAACTTCTATGAACTTTACAATCATTTTTCATGTAATTGGTATTGTGGTACATCGTCATAATCTTATAACCAAATTCGTTTCGATTGTATATAATATGTAACTCAACTCGTCCTACATTCATTTGGCATGTTCAATGCATTACATATTTGAAATAAAAATAATTAATTTTATCACCACCATACATTTATGCATGTATAAATAATCTCCAATCGTTTCATTACATATATATTTTTCGTTATCCGTTATTATAGTAAACATTTTAATGATATTCCATGACTCGATCGTAGAATGCCTTGAATTGGATTGATTATGTTTTAAAATGTACGACAAACAAATAAGCATGCGGTGTAATAAAAAATGTTAGGCGGAATGAAAAAAAATGAGTGAAGAACACAAACGCTGTCGGTGTAATATTATTTTTTTTTTGTTGTTAAATTAATGGCATGTTTTTTTTATTATTTTGCCCCCATGGCCGCGGTCGCTGCGGACCTAATCGCATGATGTCATGAACATTCGCGAATACATTAACAGTTGCCATCTACCGGCGTCGGTCTGAACCTGTTGTCGAATTACGCTGTGGTGCTGGTGACAGGCACCATCGTCCTCGGATACGTTAAGGTCATTATGAAAGGCGGGGTCGGCAGGAACGGCTCGACGGTCGCAGTAAGAGTTTTATTATCACCAATCGGTGACACGATACGGCTAAAAGCATGTTTGTTTCCCGTGGGTTTGTTTTGTTTTGGTCGTTTGTCCGCTGTTTAATTTTCATTGGGATATAATGACGGTATATAGTTCATTTGTCAATGTATTCCATATTCGTTGTAATTTTCCTGTTCATACTAACGCATGTTACATACTGTAGTTGCATGGTTGGCTTGTAATGCTGTTTAGCCCTGCACGTTCGGCTTTTTGGCTTTCGAATGCTCGACGACTTCTCTGTTCTTATATCTCACAGTATCGAGAACTTCAGAAGCCGCTCGGGTTTATCTTCCTTCCAAGATCAAGCTACAGCCGTTATATTTCCAGGGTACCAGTATCCTGTCCCCGGTGATACCATTCTCCTTGGTGGTAGTACCAGCGTTTATCATCTTCCAGAAGAGCGAGTCCCAAGTCTATGAGAACCATCCCGCCTTGTATATTATAGCGTTCGGTATGGTTACCGCTAAAGTAACAAATCGCCTTGTGGTAAGTGAATTGGTTCCATATATGTATACATATTACTTTTTATCATGAAAATGTCATCATTCATATGTCTCTTTAGGTGGCGCATATGACGAAGAGCGAGATGGAATACTACGACTGGTCGCTCCTGGGCCCAGCCATGCTATTCCTCAACCAGTACTTTAACCACGCACTGCCCGAGTATTACGTGCTTTGGCTTTGCACGGTAAGAATTACTTTTGATGAAAATATATGAAAGAGTAAGATATGTGTATTATTATCATTCATTTTGACTTATTTAAGAGACAATTGTATACTTACATACTACATTAGTGATGATGTATATTTTATGTTATCCTAAATTAGAAAGTTAAAGTCCACGTTAAAACTGGTTAAACATTATCAAATTAATTTCATTAAATTTTGTCAAGAGGATGTTCTCTACATATTTTATATACTTGTTTGTAACTATATGTAGAACCTATAATCCGAAAAAACAACCATTTCTCTTCAGATATGGGTGGTAGTTGAGCTGATCCGTTACTGTGGTCAGATATGTCTGGAGATATGTGACCATCTGCACATCAGTCTGTTCAGGATAACGAGACAAACGCCGGCAACAGCGTCGCCTCACGATAAGAACGGTACGAACAGGGGCAGGAGGGCCAAGAGGGTGCCCGCTTAGTGGGGGGAGGGGGAGGGGGGGTTGTCCAACAAACAACTTGTATTGTATGTAAATTAAACTGTCCAATATTGGTGTTTGCATTGATATCGTTACAAACACAGCTGGTTCAAACTTGAAAAGGGTTATGTTATTAAATGATGTATTAAAAGTGGGGGAATCGCCATTTTGGACGTATCTTATATATCTATCTCTTTCTCTCTTCCTGCAGTTAATCTGTCATTAAGGACTATAATCATCGGAATTGTTGATAATTGTAGGCCCTCGTTTTACTTATGACTCATTAGGATGACACGTTGACAATTCCCATTTGAAACTTAAACGATTTTATTCCTACCCCACCGAGATATCTAAACGCTTGAAATTGTATCAATATTGTTGTTTCAGTAACATGTACACAGCTATGTCGCTATTTACAGTAAGATAAATATATTTTGCGGTTTGGCTTACAATAAAATGTTTTTTATGAAAAACATTTACTTATTTACTTTTTAAGTCTATCGAAAGTCATAATAATGTAAAAATAAACTTGATTTCATTCGACACACTCTTGATAAAACAATTTTTTTATTACTAGAAAATAAAAAAATATAATAGAAATATCTCTAACTTTGTTAAAATACTCTAAAATGACAGACAGTGTTGTGAAAATGACGCTGTGATGACTAAGGCAATAAATCAGCGAGTTTTACTTTAACGACTATACCTTTTAATACGTCGATTAGGGATTCACTAATTATTTGTTTGAACAAAGTTTAAAAACCGACTTATTTCTAGATGGCATTTGGAAATACGATAGTTACGAAATATATATTGGGAAGTGTTGAATGTAAGTTGACGTTTCTCTTTAAATAAATCACCTGTTGAAGTCTTGTGACGTCATAGATTCTTTTTTTACAATCATGTTATCTCTAGACAGTTTATATACATCCTGTATAGTGTTCGGACGGGTACTAAACGAAGAGGTCGCCATTTTGGAAATAAGTCACGAAAAATGTATGAACTATGCTCACCGTGTTTTGGATATTAGTTATAATTTATTGACAATCTTCTACAGTATCTTTGGAATTTTACTTTCAATCTAATACTTAGTCACCCTGAACCTTATTCCTAATCATATTGGATTGAAAATGGAATGCTTTAGTAATTGGTGTCGGCTCAACTAACGTAGCACTGCATATTGCTAGTATGTATCGTTAACGCAAATATGGTCTAAGTAAAGCAGTTGCGTTCTATGTAGATGGCGATAGATCCTTATTGCATCTGAAGGGCCAATTTTGCGTTAACAGTCTTGACTATATATTATGTATATCAAGTATATGTAATGCTAAAACGCTTGCTATTATCATATATATTTTTTCTAGGCGGAAGGTAATTTTAAAATGTACTAGTTTATGATTGTGTACGTAATATTGTAAACCAAAATTAAATATGATGTGTATTTTTTTCAACGTGCAATCCAATGAATGTTCTTGTCACAAAGCGGACAAGATTAATTTAGAAAAGTCACATGGTCTGTTACGTCGCTCAAATATTGCCATATATAAACTCTATATAATCAGCTTTCACAGTTTTTCACTTGTAAATTGTTAACACGAAATTTATTTTATATTTTCGTTTTTATTACTGTTTCGATCATGTTCTATTGAATTCAATAGTGTTATGTTGCCAGTTAAAAAATAATTTTTTTGTGTTCAATAACTTTAGCACCGCCGGTGTTGTAAATAATGTGTTAATATAGTTTATAAATGTTACAAACAAGATGTATGATACTGTGGAATGTATTTTTTATGTGAAATATAAGCGAATGTACATTTTGAAAGCTTGTTTTATTCATTGTCATGATGTTAAATTGTTCTATAGTTTCTTTATTTAGGAGGTTTTGTATAATGTTTACAGATAAATAAATGAAATTAAACCCACAGGCTCAGGTTAGTGTAGCTTTATACCCGCTTATGTATTGATAATATTTATTATGTACAGTCGACAACACAAGCTATTTGTGTTAATGTAATATAAAACAATTATATATGTAACTAACGTATGTAGCACTTTAATTTCTAAATAACGCTTCATGGTAGTACCAGCTTCGTCCATATTAATTTTCATACTAATATAATTAAATAGATATACATAGGAATTTTAGTTTGTGTTTTTATTGCAGTGTCGAGTGAGAGCGAAAAGTCGGAGACTGAGGACGTCGCCCCTCTTATTAACAATAATAGTATTAGTTAATGAACAGTTAAAACTTTGTTATTAAACATATTTAGAGGTCATAGACAACATGAGTTTTGACAGACCTAAGACAGCAACATATAAATTAATGTTGCCAGTTTATTCATGTTCTCTATTGCCTTCAAAATATTTTTTTCTTACGAAACCGTAGACTTACAACTTTAAAGAGATTCTGGACGCAGAATAAAAATTGTAACATCTAGATCTAAAATAATTTTATATGAATTTAATTGTGATTTTTAATGTTCTACTGATGTAATTAATACAATAAACTGTTTAATATAACTGATACATCACAAAAATATAAACAAAGGGAGACATTTCAAAAATAAATTTTGATGTTGCTGGGACTTTTTTCTTTTTTTTTCTTTATCTTTATAAAAAAACATCAAATCGTAACCCTAACCCAAACCTTAGCGTAAATAAATGTATTGAAAACAGATCTGAAAAATAATGTTATTACTAACTTTATGGCTTTTATATGGAATATATTACATAATATTAAGTATATCCTTTGTAGCTGTTTAATTATAGGAAAATAATTTTTGTTACGTATATACATATATTTTAACCAAATTCGTTTATTTTAATTAGAGTATTAAAACTTATGAAACTGTCCTACATAGAAACGTTGTTGTATGAAAAAAAATCTTTAATATTGTCCTTATATTGAAATGCACTCTATTCTAGTTTCATAGCTTGGTAAAAATATGATGGCATTATCATTATTATTGGGAAATATAAGAGGAGATATATAGCTTCCAGAATATTCCATACAATCTATTGTGTTTGAAGAGTACAGTAGAGTACCTATCTATAAATTTTATAACATGCAAAAATGAATTGAAATTGAAAATTATTATAATACATAGGTATATTTATTTATGTGGTTCATTGTGTTATCATGGATAAAAAAAAACAAACCGCTTAAAGTACTACACACGATAACATTCCAATAGGGACAAAATACAAATGCGACCGCAGCGACGCGTATCAGTTGTTGGCGGTAAAGCAAAATGTCAACAACGCTATAACAACGGTGATATAATTTTATTTTTGATTAAGGAATTGTAATGTAAATGAAGTGTCAATGATTCCATTGAGGTTTGTCAGAACCAGGCCGGATTACGAAGACCTTTCAAATGACGGTAGGTTACTTTTAAACTAATTACATTAATAAATAAAGTGTAATCAAAGTTTTATATTAAAATGGACATCGTTATCAGTAATATGAGCAACATTCGATTTTCGAGATTATCAGTTTAGCGCCGTTCGGATTTAATGTTTTTGTAGTAACAGTTCTGATTTGTAATAATTTGTAATGTAAATTTCTTAGTTACATCTGATGTGAAATTAATAAAGAAAGAATTTAGAAGATAATTGTAATTATATTGCTTTGATTAATTAACCATGTAAAATAAATAAACTAATTTATCTTTATATTAAAATAATGTATATCAAACTTAGACACAGCTGATACAGATGATATAAGCATACATATTAATATGTAAAAAGTGTAACAAACAATAAAATACATAAGAAGAATGAAATCACTTAAAGGACAATATCATTTGATTTTAATTCGTGGTTACATTTTCCTCTAATGAATGATTTTATTGCTTATTAACTTTCAGATAACCTCAGGAAGGTCACGGTGTTTAGTCGGGGATACAAATCTTGTATTCGATTTTGTCGCATCGTGTCGTCCTCGTCTCGTCGCTTCTTGAGAAGTATAAGATCGCTTCAGTATATTCGTAAGTACATTAAATATCTTTTGAACTTTATGACTACGAAATGTATTCCGATAATTAAAATGATAGACATTTTCAATTATACAAAGATCGTGCTAATCTGCTGGATAAATTATAATTAATTTTTCTAAATATAATTGTCTACTCACCTTGGCCCTTATCTAAAATAATATTGCCATGTTTTCATTTAATATCAAGTTATTAGTTTTGTTATAAAACGCTGTTTAAAAACACTACACGTTCAGCTTCAGAAATATGTAGGTGAACGAAAAATGTCAATGTTGCTACTGATTTATCTTTATGAATAAAGCCCAAATGTGTATTTATTTTTATACATGTTCCTACGATTTCGGAATGATACCCTTTATTTTATTTAGCCAATTGAGTTTGTACAGTTTGACGAAATTTCGCGTAACACAATTTGAAAAACAATAGTTTACATATTTATCCACATGCTAGTTCCTTTATATGAAGTACAAGGTCATTTTCAACAATGTAGGTCAAGCTATAAAATAAATAGGTATTAACGAATATGGAAAACATAACTGTGTTTATTTGTCCCCATTATAACTGTAGCGACATATAATATGTCACCTGTCACTTAAAAAAAATCAATGTTTATTTTGTGGTGTTTAGGTAAACCTTTAATAGTAGGTGCGCCTATTAGTTTCACAAAATTTAGGCCTTAGGCATTTAATTTTTGTTTTCAATATAAAGCAGCTTATATATATAACTGAAACATGCATTTTCAGTTATAACTTGAATATTCGAATTGGGTTTTAATAATTTCAAATAAGAAACAACACGTACATGAAACCACTTCAATGTACCCATATAATTCACGGCTGTTGCTACGCGTGAAGAATCTATATATCTTTATATATATAATTATTCTGTGAGTGTGTATGTCACTGAACTTCTCTCAAACGACTGGACCGATTTTGATAAAAAATTTGTGTGTGTTCAAGGGGATCTGGGAATGGTTTAGATTCACAATTTTGCCCGCTGGACAATGTT